TATATATATATATATATATATATATAGGACCGCGATGGACGTTTCGAGAGCTCTGCTAGGGCTCGGGTTTCCTAGCGATCTGAAGGCGATTTCGGGATGTTGACGGCGTTTCTTCTCTCTCGTCTGTCGGATGTTGGTGAGATCTTTCCGTTTGCTTTATTGCTTTGGCTTCTCCTTCATGCTCGTCCATGCTCCACTGTTTTTTGGTTTCTTGCTGTCAATGGCGAAAACTTATGCCAGGGGCTCCTCCGATGCTGCTCCAAAGTTTGTTTTCCTTCTTCTTTTCATAAATTTTTTATTCTTGGTGGGGAGTACAACTTCATAAGAAAGCAGGGGAAGAAGGGGGGTAAGTTTGCGCTCCTCCTTTCTGACTCTGAGAACACTATTCTGGCTTCTGCTTGTCGATTCCATCTGGTGGGTAAGTTTCTCTATGGGCTACCAAAATTTGATTTTCTTCTTAAGAATTTCGAGATTTTGAATTTGACTGGGGGTTGAAACATTGGTGCTCTCGATGGTAGGCATATTTTGATTCAACTTTCTAATGAGGATGACTACGCTAAACTCTTTGCTTGTAGAACTGTTCGTTTTGAGGATGTTTTGATGAAAATCCTAAAATGAACTACTAATTTCAACCCTCGGGTTGAGCTTCCTATTGTTCATGTTTGGCTTCGTCTGTCTGGTTTAAAAGTGCATCTGTTTAATCATGAGATATTATTTCCAATCGCTGCCATGTTTGGTAAATTGCTAATGTTAGATGCTCCGACTTTCAATTTAACAAGACCCTCTATGGCAAGAATTTAAATTGAAAGAGATGTTACTTTACCCCCCCACGCCAGAAGAGGTTTGAATAGGTTCTACACATACTGGTTACTGACAACAGGTTTTTCTTGAGAAACATCTTCACTACTGCTCTCATTGCCGCATGTTTGGACATGATTCAGTGAATTGTTTTCACCTGCATCTTGAATTAAGGAAAAATAGCGCGGGTCGTTTGACCTCTACTGAGATTCTCAGCTCAGAGAACACATCCTGAGATTGGACAAAATGTCCCTTGTTTGGAGGGGAATACTATGCAACATGGCGCCGTTGTGCATGATGGCCCACCAAACAATGAGAGGTTTGAAGCCATAGTGGAACGGGTTTCTGATACACTGTTCACAACTCCCCACACCATCTCAAATTATGCCACCTTCAACTACGAGCGCTGAGCTATTGGTTGAGCAGGACATTGAATTACCTATAGCCTATACTTATGCTGGGGAATTACCCATTGTGGAAACTCCCCAAACCTTTGCACCTCAACCCCCCTGCTATGCACTCTACTACTACACAGACTGCTGATGTTCAGACTCTTGACCCGGTTGCTGATGCTGCTTTGGCCTTGGATTCTGAATGGAGCATTTAAAATTACAGTAGGAGAAGAGGAAGAAGGAAATCTGAAATTTCTAATTTGAAAACTTCAAACATTATTGATGTCACTTACCATTCTGAGGGAGAGCACTTGCACCTTCCCCCTAGGATCATTAGGAGGGGTGCTTTGGGCCAACATGTTTAACATCTAAGTGTGGAACATTAGGGGAGTGGCGGACCCCCGCTCCCTTAATCGTTTAAAATATTTATGCAAGGTCCATAAGCATGACATTTTTGCAATTTTGGAGCCATTGGTGTCTGTCCATAAGGATGGTATTATTAAAAAATTCAAAAAATATCTCCACTATAGTAATCAGAACAATAAAATCTGAATTTTTTGGATGAACGAAAATAAATTAAACATCATTGATGATGATTTGTAATATGTTCTTGTTCATTATATGTTGGAGGAGTTTCATGGTTGGGCTACCTTTATTTATGCCAGCTCCTTATTACAGGATAACTTATTTCTTCGGCAACAACTTATACACATTGGTGCTTCTATTGCTGATAACTGGTTTGTTGGAGGTGATCTTAATATGGTCATGTCCCCTTCAAAGAAAAGAGGTGGAGCTAAAGCTGATATTAATCTTATCAATCGGTTCTGCGAGCATATTAATGATGCTGGGCTTTTTGATTTGGGTTTTTCGGGCTCTCCTAACACTTGTAGGTTAGGTCTACTTATGCAGAGGCTTGACAGATTTCTGGGCAACTCTTCTTTTTTGGATTATTATAATATCATTTATGTCAAGCATCTTAATCATGCTGCTTTTGATCATAATCCTATTTTGCTTAGCTTGACTTTTCATTCTAAACCTGCTTACTCCTATTTTAAAATTCTCAAAGTCCGGACCTCTAATCCTACCTTTCTAAATCTGGTTAAATAGGCTTGGAGTACTGGGTTGTGTGGCAGCCCATGGTTTATTTTGCAGCAATTGCATAAAAAAAGTGACTTCTCTTTTGAAGAAGTGGAATTTTGATGTGTTTGGCAATGCCCACTCCAGAGTTTTGGAAGCCCAACAGGAGGTAGATGCACTAGAATCACAGGTTATCTGCACTCCTCTTGTTGAAAATGTCGCCCAGGCTCACCATAAACTCCTAGAGGAAATCACTATTGAGGAAGATTTCTTGCGTCGGAAAGTCTGTAACACTCACTTTAACAATGGTGATCGAAATACTAAATATTTCCACACTACCATCAAGCATAGAAGGAACATTAATGATATTCTTAAGATTGTCACATCTGAGGGTGTTGTTCTTACTAATCTTGATCAAATTGGCTCCAATGTTGCGGAATAATTTGCTTCTCTATATGATGATGTTGTTCAGGTCACTGCAATTGATCCTCAGTTGTTTGATGCGAATAGAGTTTCGGTATCGTCCCTCTGTCTGACCCTCTAACCCTCCTTCGGAGATGGAAATTCTCACCGCTCTCAAAGAAATCCATTCTCAAAAGGCTTTTGGCCTTGATGGATTTACTTCTACTTTCTATATTTTTTGTTGGGATATCATTAACAATGAGGTAATTCTAGCCATTCAAAGTTTTTTTTCAAGAAGAAGATCATGGTAAGTATTTTACTGCTGCCCTGATGTGCTTATCCCTAAATCCATTTAGACCTATCTTCCCAACTTCTGTGGTTTCTAAGATCACAAGTAAATTGATTGTGTCCCATTTACAGCCTCACCTTCCCTCCCTCATTTCTCCACATCAATCGGCTTTTGTGAAGGGCTGTGATATTTCAGATAATATTTTGTTAGCCCAAGAAATTATTGAAGATCTTGATAAGAAATGCAGGGGTTGAAATATAGTTATAAAACTGGATATCAACAAGGCCTTTGATACAATAAGTTGGGATTTCATTATCAATGTCTTGGTGGTTAGAAGTTTCAGTTCTAGCTTTTGCATGCTAATTAAAAAATGGTTGTCCAATAATCATTATAGTGTGCTTGTTAATGACAATTCTTATGGTTTTTCCTTTGCTAAAAGGGGTATTAAATAGAGGGACCCTCTCCCCTATTATTTTCATCATTATTATTGACTACTTATCTAGATCGTTTTCAATTGTTCTACCCTCACACACAATTCTCTCATAAGGCTAAAACTATGGTCTCCCACCTTGTTTATGCTGATGATGTTATTATCTTTGCAAATGCATCCAAACTTGCTATCAAAAAATTAATGACACTACTAAATGATTTCCAGAATTGTTCTGTTTGGCTTTTACTGTGACAAATGTCAGTTGTATTTTGGCAAGCATTTTAAAAATTATATTGCTAATTGGGGGGCTTCTTTCACTAGTTATCATCACGCCTCCCTCCCTTTAAAATATCTTGGGGTAAATCTGATTAGAGGAAGGAAAAGACAGATTAAAATGGATGGTGTCATTGACAAAATTAAGCATAAGATAAATGATTGGAGAAATGTCTTCCTTCCTACTGGGGGTAGGATTACTTTGCTTTCTAGTGTGCTTCAAAGTATTCCTCTATGCTTTACAGGTGTTCAACCCAAAGAAGAGTGCCATTAAAGTTATGGAGAGGTTTTTTAATAAATTCCTATGAGTTGGTAGTGGTGCTCAGAAGATTTGGGTTTCATGACATAAGATGTGTAAACCCAAAAAAACTGGGGGCTTTGGTTTCAAAGTTTTACAACATACTGTGAAAGTAAATCTTTGAAAGCTTTGGTTTAAATTTAGAGAGGGTTCTTCTCTCTGGGCACCTCTTTTATGCATCAAAAATACTGTGCCACTTCCCACCCTTCCCAGGTTTTGTGGAAGTTAGGTGACACTAGGATCTGGAAGGCAATTCTGAATGTCAGATCCACTGCTAGGGATTTTATGTTTTGGGATATTGGTGCTGCAAGCATCTCTTTCTGGAATGATAATTAGGGAATGCCTTCCTTTTCTGAGCATACTCATCCATCTCATACAAACGATTTGCTTGTTTCTGATCTGTTTTCTCAAGGAAGTTGGGGTTTCACTAAGTTTTTTTCTCTGGTGGGGGGGCTGAATGCTAAGCATATATCTAATATTCCTACTACTCCTTCCCGCAGAGATTATCCTGTTTGAAAGAAGTCTTCTTCACAGTCGGTCTGTAAATTGATCTATGACCCTTTAAACTTTCATCCGGGTTGGTTTTGGGGAAATTGATTTTGGCATAAACTCTTTACTCCCTCTATCTCCTTCCTCTGAGGCTATTTCTCCTCCTTACTTCCTCTTGATGACATTCTAAAAATGAAAGGCTTAAGATTGGTATCAAGATGTCCTCTGTGCAAAAATTCGGAGGAAGACATAAGACACATATTTTTTTAATGTGCTTTTTCTATAGATGTCTGGAATCTTTTGGGTCCCCTGGAATCATGGGGGCACATTAATTACCTATTTGTGGGAATGGAAAGCTTATGCTGAAGATGAGGGAATGTTTTTTCCCTCCCTCTGCTAGTCCTTTGGTTCCTTTGGACTGCTAGAAACAACCATAAATACAATTCCTCCCCCGCAACTGCCACTATTACTACTTCCTATATTCTTGCCTATTATTCTAAGGCCTAAGGGCCTCGACTAATGTTGTTCCCCTACGTATGAGATCTTGGCCTCCTCGGTTAGTCAGTTGGACGCCCCCTCCTCCTGGCTGGGTGAAAGTTAATGTCGATGGCAGCTGGAATGAGCTTTCTGCTGCCATTGGTGGCCCCTTCAGAAATTTTGAGGAGCACTTTATGGGCTATTTTACTTCACCTAATGTTGCTGATACTCCTTTAGCTACGAAATGTTGGTGGGTATATCTTGCTTTAAAGTGGCTTTTACTTTTAATTTTCATACTATTACTGTTGAAACAGACTCAAAATTGCTTTATGAGAAGTTAATGGGTGTCTCTCAACCTCTCTGGGATATTATTTGTACCATCAAACGTATACAAGCTTTAATAGCTAATTGTCACTTGATCGTTTGTTGGAGTTTCATTCACAGGGAAGGTAACTCCCCTGCCTTAGTTAGCCAGGCAAGCAGGTGGAGTGTGCACTGTTGGATTATCCCCCCCTACACCCCTCCGGCTTTTACTTACTGGGGACTATTTAAATTTGTCTTAAGTGAAGTCTTGATGCACTGCTTGCTGGTTTGGTTTTTTTGCTTCATTTCTGCGCTTTTATCTGCACTCTTTCCCTTTGCTGCTCTCTATGTTTCTGGCAGGTCGAACCGCCTTCTTTGTTGGGCATTCTTTCATGGTGTTGATAGACATCCTGATTTGCAATCTACTCTTTGTTGGACTAATTACTTATGGATTATTTTCCCGGTTGGCAGAACTGTTCTTAAGGAGCGTTTTTGGAGTTTTATCTAATGTCATTTTTTGGATTTTCTTTAGTATTTTGCCTGTTTTGTTTTACATATGCGCAGGTATACTTATTTTCGGTTTTGCTTTTTTGTTTGAGAATACTTGTATTTTTCGGGTTTTGATTTTGTGTGGGTTGTAATGTGTGAGGAGGAACCCCTAGAGGTGAGTTTTTTCAAATGTATTTTTTTGGGTTTTTTAGACGGGGATCCTCCACCCCTCCCCTCTTGTGTACCTTTTTCTTTATTAACACGTAGGGAGCCACCGTTGCTCTTTCTCCCAAAAAAAATAAAAAAAAATAATATATATATATAACACCTACTAAAAGAAAAGAGACTAAATTGAATGTCAAAATTCGATCAATGATTCCAAATTTCTTTCATCAGTGGAAACCAAGTTCAAAGTGTTTCTGCCACAAGATTCAATTGTGCCAAATAAAAAAAAAACAAAAAACCAATAGTTTGGCATAACAAGATATAAGAGTGATTTGAGTGAAGAGTACGAGCAACTTTTATTTCTAATGAAACAGCGAAGTCATATTGTATGAATATGGAAACTAGGACGAATACACTTTAAGAATGGAGTGAAGAAAAAAAGTAAAATAATAGTTTCTGATATCTTATGTTGTGCACCTACTACAGATATACTTATTGATGTATGTGATGTTTATTCCTTTTATATGCTAGCAAGATTTATTTGCTGGCAAAAAGGAATTTTAAGGTGGTATCTCTATAGTTATTTCAAATGTATGTCCCATCAGATTAGATTATAGTTCATTCTCTTCAAGCATTACATACATTTCTATTGTCTTTAGAAGAATCTTTATCACTATCTTTGTATTCAGAACCTACAAGTTCAGTCATTACTCCTCACATTTCATATAAAAAACTGAATCCATTAAATAAGATAGTGTACAGGATTGTGAAGCGTTGGGAAGTGGGCTAACAAAGCAGTGGAGAAGCAGAATTTACACAGATTTCAGATTTTCAGCTGCAACGGTAGGGTTTCAGTGTGTTTTTGGGGCATAATGGGACAATTTTTAAGCTGGGATCTCCATGAACTTTTTGGGTCAGTTATGGGGAAGGATTTTCAGTGTGCTGTTAATAGCAGTTTAAGGAGGCTTAGGAAAAAAACTTGCTGTGAAATTGATACAAGGAAGAGATAAGGCTCTTGTTGGGTTCTAGACATGAAGGGTAAAGAAGAGAGAGCCGGAGTGTAAGAGTGTGAGGAAAGGAGAAAGAAAGGATAGATAAAGAGATAGACAACAAGAAAGAATTCTGGAGGATGAAGAATCATGCAATAGATAGAGAGTGCAGAGGAGAGAAAATCAAGACGTGTTTTATCAAGAGGGGAAAAGAGCTGTTATAGTAAACTTATCCAATTTTCATTAAAGGAACAATAAAAGCCCCAGAGTACATGGGATTTCGAGTAGGAGCGTGAAAGAATAGAATCAGATTGGGAGTTCATAGAATGAAGTAAATATGAATCAAGCTACAAAAAAAGGGTAACACATCACAATATAGAACACATGAGCATTCAAATGCTTCAGTATCATGACTTAAGTCTATTATGCCATGGTTGGGGAGTTTGCTCTTATTAAATCTCAAGAAGAATTACAACAATGCAAAGGAGTTAGCATAAGTTGAAAAGATCCTTATGATTCCCACAAATTTGTCTTTCACAGTTCCTACCACAAAACATTACAAGAATTACAAAGTGATGTCAATTGAATCATTGCTATAAATTAAAAAAATGTTACATTTCCAAAAAGGAGTCAGATGAAAATTGATGAATCCTAAACAATTGTGCAGTCCAAGTTCTCACCATAGTAGTGAATAAAATCACATACCTTCATGCGATTTATCAGCTGTATCCAAAACCTCCCCCGTTTCAGCACACAGCCACTGCAATGTAGGACCACAAGTGACGGCAAGAATTTTGCCATCAGGTGAGATGCTCATATGATCATATGGTAAAGGAGTGCCTTTAGCATCCTTAAGGGGAATCTTGAACACTTTCAAGGTCTTTGGATCCTCGTCTAGGTGATAGCGCACTTAAAAAAGAGAAAAGAAGGATCAGATTTAGATACATAAATCATAGCATAAAGACAGAAGAACGAAAATAAAGCATGAGTGAATCAAGCTAGAGAGAACTCAACAGCAATTAAATTATCTGTATGGTACGAATAATTTAAAACTGCAAAGGTGGATCAAATTTGTTTCCTTAAGGAAAAAAATTCAGAAAACTGAGATTTCAGAAACTAATGGAAGTCCTCCTTTTATTAAAGAAAGAGCAATGGCTTACAAACGTATGCAGCTTTTACAATTTAAAGAGGCCTTTAGAAGCTGACAAATCTATAACATAAGCATACAAAAATAGAAATATCGCATACCGTTGATATTCCATATTCTAATAGTACCATCTTTTGATGCAGTAATTATATTGTCTGAATTTGGGGTGAAGCACAAACAAGTGACAGCACTCTGCCCAAAAAGAAAGCAAAAAGGAATAATAATCCCAAAAAATAAAGCATCAAACTATCAAATCAATTAATTAGCACAATAGAAACATATTAACTGGTAACTTAATAAATGAAACATATTACTGGTAACTTAAAGAATCTAGCAATTAGAATGCCGAAAATGTGTTAATATGAATGAATTAGTGCAGCATTAAGAAAAACACTCATAGATGAGAGTGAACGGTACATGTACACACACCAACTGCTGAGCACCTTAGTCCCCCAACAAAAAATGAAGCTGTTCAACGAGAGATAAAAAAGTTAACAATAAACTGAATGTATTGCACGAGTGCCAAGCTTAAATTAATTAAAAACAAAGGACTTGTAGTCTTTTTGGGACGGCTTTTCATCTGTGTTGCATTCGAAACTACAAACATAATTTTGTTTGGGGAATTGTTTTCTTACTGCATTCTAAATTTTTGTGGTGAAAAGTTATTTTTTGCAACCAAATTTGTTAAAGTATGGTAGCTATAATAAAATAGTTATTTGATTTTTAAAAAGAAATAGATATTTATAATTCTCACTGTAGCTTTTTTAAAAATTATGTTCTCCAACATAGCCTCGTAATGACTTTCAAAAATTGCAGCCGCCCCAAATAGAGCTTGTTAGGATATTAATGCTTGAAAAGTTTTGAGTATTGGTTGCAATTGATCATTTAGACATAGCCAAACTAGATAAATTTTCACTGCAGCCTCTCGGTCAAGTATGTTAATACTAATTCAACTATATTTATACTGGACCTTACAATGGTTTATGTCAATTTGAGAACTAAAGATATATTGAATTCAATTAAATAAAAGCAGCAAATACAGACAAGACACACACAAAATAACACCATATTTACAGGCATAATATAAAAAGAACCGCACACACAGACACATAGATTTTCAGCCAATCAATCATATTTACAGACACAATATAAAAAGAAGGGCGCACACGCTCACACAGATTTTCAGTCAATCAATCATATTTACAGGCATAATATAAAAAGAATTGTTCATTAAAAGTAATTAGATGGTTGCAAAAGCAAGCAGGATGGCACAAACTTTTCCTCGCCTTTCCTTAATTTACCCACTCATCTGATCAATTCAGTAATATATTGTCCTCCTATCGGACAATTTCCACCATCACCACCACCCACACCCCACAGTGAAAACAAGGGAAAAGGAAATATAATTTGTAAGTCAGTGGGAACTGGGGACAAGTCACTCCCCTCCCCACTACCCAAGCTTAAGGTTTTTTTTGGAATCGATTTTGTTTTTTATTTTTGTTTTTATCTTATCTTTTTTTCAATATATTTGTTTAGTGTGCTTTTTACATGTTTTTATTTTTGTTTCCAAAAACAAATTAGCATGTTTTTAAAAACACTCGAAATAACTTTTAGTTCTTTGGAGTGTTTTCAAAAACAACTTTATTTTAATTTAACTTACCAAACAAGTTTTGATTGAAATCAAATTATTTTAAAAAATAAAATAAAACAAAAAATAGAAAATAAAAAATATA